ACATTCTTGTTTTAAAAATATGCAATATATGTATGTGTGTGTATATATATATTGTATAATTTTTTAAAACAAGGGTGTTGTCTTCTTTATGACTAATTAATTTATCTTATTGTTCTACATATAAAAATATTAAAGTATGTTTTTTATAAAAAAATGAATAAAATTCACGAATAAAAATAAAATAAATAAGATTGACATTGAACAATAAAACAGAAATTCCGATAATATTTAATAATAAAAATTTATTAGTACATTTAAATAATGACAGTTAAATTATAATCCCCTTTCAAATATGTATTCTTTTAGGAATACAATTTTTATAAAAAAAAAAATCTTGCTAACAAATAAAATTTGATGTAATAAACATTAAATTTTTATAATAACTTTCAATAATATTTCTAAATAACAAAATTAATTAGAACACTACGAACATTTGACTTAAAATGATATTTCTCACTGTAAAAAAATCAGAGATTTAATTGAAAGAAATATTGTATTTCGGAGCAGTATAAAATTGCGGTCATGGTCTTTATCGTACATATACATTTTATATATGTAACACGCGCGCACACGCACGCACGCACGCACACGCACGCACGCACGCACGCACGCTCGCGCGCGCGCGCACACACACACACACACACACACACACACTTCATATGAAAGAAAAGGATACTTTTGAAATAATCGAAAACCTTGACCACTTGTTATATTAAAATATCGAAAGTTGTAGACCTTTAATTATAAGATTCTATGTGACATTAAACGAGGCAGAAACATACAAGGTATCGGACGAACTTTCACTATAATTACATCAGTGTCATTCAATTTTATTCTTCAATTTTGTATCATTCAATTTTGTAAAGAAATATTAGCGCATTTAATATATGTCTTTCGATTATTATTATCGATTATTATTATTTTGAACAATTTTCTCTCTTTTTCTTGTTTAATTAATATGCATGCTTTTCACAATAATAATTAAGACATTATTGAGTAAGGTATTATTTAAACGTATCAATAAAGTAATTCTCAGATTTATGATTTCGAAGAAATGTTCGATATTGACTTTAATAAAAGAAACTTTACCTGGTGCTCCGTCTTTGTCGAATCCGCTTAATCCGTAAGGCAAATAATTTTTTATTCCTTCAGGTATATCCCAATTACATAAATTATCAGCATCCCATTGTTTGCGCCATTCCATTGACTATAAATAAATATTTTCTATAAAAATGCTTATCTCTATTTTATTATCGTAAAAGATAATAATGCTGTAATCAAAATTATTAATTTGGATTTTTTATATAAAATTCTGATGTACTATATTGATATACGCGTATCTTAAATATCTTATTGTAAGATCTATATGTACGTACCATTATTTTTATATATCTAAAAATCTAATCGGAAGATTCTTTTACCATTCTTATTTCTTGCGCGACAGCTTGAAATTAAAGAAGGAAAATGTAACAGAGAGAATACATTACAATGCGACCTATAAAATATTTTCGTGAAATTTTTTTATTTTTCTTCTAAAAATGTCATTTGTATTAATTGTGAAAGTTGAATTTCTCTTATATAAGAAAGATAGACTTAATCAGAATCTAAATACGTTAGTTGATTATCGGTCGCAAGAAATAAAATATAACAAAAAAAAATAAGTTATGTTACATTTTAAATAAATTGACGACGTTAATAAAAAAAAATTTTATACAATTTTGTAATTATGTTCCTTTTGAAATATTTAGATTACAACATAAATAAATAAAAAATACATTTAAATTTAATGAATAAAATATTACACATTTATCTTAGGTAAATATTTTGTCTGTGATGAAATCCAGAATAAATTTGATTTTTTGTGCTGTTTTAATGTTCTGGGTAGAATATCTGTGTAAAGTAACGTGGCATGTAGGTATTTGTTACGGTATAACATGTTCCATTGGAACGACTTTAGTCACTAGAAAGACGACCATTCGGAAACCGAAGATGCACGAAACATTTCTCACGATTGCAGTTAACAATTTCAGGGTTTTGTGCAGACTAGAAAGTGAAAAAGTCATTACCCGAAGAATGCCTTAGCCACATTATAGATCTACGGTTTTCAATCATCGTGAAACCTTACTAAACGAGACTGCAGATGCTGGCTTCGAACATGCTTCGCGGAATCGGCACATTACTTTCGACTTACAAAATGGCACGTACGTTGGAGAACAACTTTCTATTTCATATAAAACATCTTTGAGAATAAAAAGAAACGGAACTGTCGACAACATAATCCTCCAACATCCGATGTGTACTCGAAAAGGGTACTTTCCTCATTTATCTACGCGAGAATGAACTGTGATTACTGTGAATGACGCTAGCAAATCATTTC